CACAGGTAATCCTGTAGAGCCTGAACACGTGGAATGTGGTAGGGATGAAATCGATGGTCTTTTAAAGCTTTGTGAACTGTAGTTTTTGGTATTCCCGTCCGTCTTTCCATCATTCTCACTGAAGTCGATGGAGCTAGTTCCACTTCCTCTAACACAGCTTCAACATCTACCGTTGCAGGACGTCCTGTTTCGCCGCCACGCCTTCCAGGTATGCGACCTTAAAAAAGTGAAAAATTATAGTTAACAAGCAAGCAAACAAGAAAGGTGTAAAAATCACTTACCTTCATATATTTCTCTATGGGTCCGGGCGAATACTTCACGACCCGGATGTCGACGATTGGGGTATCGCTCTGCATAGAGTCTTTGAGCAGCTCTGGCATTACAGCAAGCTTCACCGTAAATTAGGTGAATATCCGCATATTCATGCGACGTATACTGCGTGTTCTCTGTCATAGTATTAATAACACAATGTTCGAAGGGTCCAATTTCACAAAATCCACTTTCACTAATTCCGGTAAGTAACACAAAATAATGTCAGGAGCAGGTAATAATGTACCTTTGTACTATTTAGCATGTCATTTGACGGTAACAAGAGCAAATTCAATTTAAATCTATTAAATACATTCTAGCGTGTCTCAGTCCTTTACCCACAAAAGCGGCTATTAATTTTTTTTTTCTATTCAAAACAGTAAGTGTGGCACCTTTCTGAAATCTTTATTAAATGAGCAATTTTTTTATGTAATGCAAAGTTATAGCTCAGTACATTTTTTTTCACCCGAGATAGTCAAAGTTGGGGAAGAAAATATCAAAAAGTTAAAAATCCAGAAATAGTCCTAATTTTATGATGGTTCCTTAATATATTTTAACTACATTGCATTTGAGTATGGAGAGGCAACTATCTGGAAGTATTTTACATAAAAAATTTACTAAGTATTGCCCGGTTTGTAGTTGCAGTTAAAGAAAACACATGAAAAGGCACGATTTTTTTTAAATTCGAAAAAATGTAAATATTTCAAAAACGGTGACACTTTTACCTGAAAATTTTTTGTATATCAGTGAGCTCACCCCCCCACCTACCTTCCCCTAAAGTTTGGCACGTTACTTCTGGGACACCCTGTATAAGCGAGTCATTTCAGCATGCTACTGTGGCAGCTTTCGTCACTCGTGCGCACTGCCGTGCGCTGTGATAATACCCTTGTGCACAACTACGCCCGAGTATAGAATGGTGACCAGGGATCGAACATAACAGTTATTGATGAAAACTGTCATTGAAAAATTCACTATGAAGGAAATGTTCTACACCGAAGTGTTACATACAAGCCGATTTCTTTTTTAGCCGATCAAATTTGAAAAAAATTGTTTTTTTTCTATTTTTTATGCGAAATAAAAAAGATACCAAAGATTTTTTATTTTTATTTTATAAATTCAAAATAACAATCATTTTTGATTTTTAAATAAAAAATCTGCAAATAAAAGTCATTTTTGATTTTTATATTATATGGCTTAGGTAACAGTTATTAAAAACTTTTATTTATATAAGTCATCAATAACAATCAGTCAGTGACTTCTACTTTTAAAAGTCATCAATAAAAATCAGTCACTGACTTTTATTTTTAAAGTCATACGTATAAAAGTCATCATAATTTAAGGTGTTAGAGAACAAAAGTTTATTACGACCTATACAAATTTTTGTTTATGTAAATTAAAATACAAATTCCACGCAGTTATCTAGCAGCTGTCTAAAAATATAGTAGTGGTATTCACCAAAGTTGCAAGTGGCCTGGCAGTATAGCAAAATAGCATATCAGCACAAGCAACGACTGTTGTCAATAGTCGTTGCTTGAGATCATATGCTCTTTTGCCAGAGTGCCAGGCCACTTGCTCAATTTGGTGAATACCACTAGTGTTTTTCTCTTTAATCCGTAGGATTTGTAAAATTACACATATGTATATGAAAGGGCTCGCTCAGAATAAATAGCCCGACAATTTTAAATCGATAGCGCTCGAAAGACTGACACATTGATAGACGGTATGTGTAGCTAGGCTACGCCTCTGCTCAAATCAAAGCCTTAATTACCCCGACAACAAGTGCAACGAATCAAGTAATCACCGCAAGAACATACCTGGCACCGAGTATGGTGATGAATTTGGTGATGGTAGCCAATAAGCAGAATTTATCGCCGGATAAGATTTGTATGCCGTCGTTGGCAAAAATGGTGTTTTATTGCTGTTTGGAGCTTCCACTCCGTCTGGCGCAATCGACGTTGAAGTGATTATGTTTCTTCCGTAGCTAGAACCGATTCCGAGATTTAAGCCGAGGCGAACAACGGGTATGCTGTCGATATTACTGCTGGGAAAGCTCTTAATTATTGACGATAATTGGTCGCTGCAGTTGGCACGACAACTATTACCAATATTAGTTTCACTTCTGATGATGTTGCTACTGCTATTTTCTCCGCCAAGACTATTTATGCTAGAAACATACAAATTAGCGGCGGCAGTGCTGATCGGCTTGTTGCCACAGTTACTGCCGTTACTGCTGTTATTGCTGCTGCTGCAATTTGTCGATCCAATTATAGACGAATTATTTTTCATAGTAATTAATTGTCAACAATTTTGAGTAAATTTCACACAATGACAGATTCCAGGGTTCGCACAAATAGGTAGTGAATAGATACATACGAGTATATACGTACTGGGAATGAGATGCACACAGAGCGTGAGGGAAGTGCAAACCAGTTTAAAGGGTCAGGTGTAAATAGAAACGCTTCAGCTTTACTTCTTTCATTGTGACAGGCTACACTTGTAACACATGAATGCAATTTATAACTTTAGTCATATGTATATTCTGGTTTTCTGTTTCATAAGCACTGCGACGTCGCATAGTTAGTTAGTCACACATTTCTAAATATCATTCAATCATATAAAGAAGTTTGGTATGTAAATTTCAACAATATACTCGTAAGTACATATGAGCCGTTTACTTTGAAAGTGACATAAGTCATTTCATGCCGTTTGAATTCAGTGATCATTTACCTGTATCTGAACGCGTTCTTATCCGTGAAATTCATCAGCTAAACGTAACAAGTTTTGCTCATTGGTTTATGACAGTAGAACGATTTACAGATGTAACCAACTATTTAAGCACAGGATATGGAATTGACTTATGCCACTTTCAAAATAAAATGTTCATATGTACCTAAGTATGTGTTTGCTCCATATTTTGACGACACTGTGTAGTGTTTTACATCATAAAAAGCTGACATTTATTCTTATTACAAAAACAAATAAATATAACACTTAAACAAATGAACATTTCTTATTTCGTGTATTAGGTAAACTACTGAATTCAGTTAAACATACACACAAATACATAAAAAATAAAGAAGACTTTAACTGCTTTATAAATCGAAAATTTGTATGAAAATGTCACTTTATAGAGCTCTTTAAATCTATTTTATTTTTAATGAATAAGGCTAATAGTCCTTTCACAGTAGTATTTTAATAGTATTTTTTTTCATTTTTGGTGAAATTATTGCTCACAAAACGAAACATTTTGTCAATAAACACAGTTTAAAATATATCGGGTAACACGGATAATACCACTACGCACTTCGGTTACTTTGTGGTGCATGAAATTACAATCGTTGGCGAAATTGCAGATTGGTATATGTACTCGCTGAACAGCACTGGTGGCGCGGCCGCAGCTATACGTCGCGCCAAACATTTCCCGTTCACTAGCGTATGATCAATTAACTCGAACTATCGCGAATTTCGTGCTCGAATTGTTTTCTAAAAATAGTGTTCAATTACTTAGTTACCAGCAGGATTGGCGGCGTCAAAATAAGAACAAGACATTTTGAATTACAGAGCGCGATGGAGTGCAATATGCACAGGAACAATGATTCACCTCAGCTTCCACAACAATTGAACAGAACCAATGTAAAGGCCCGGTTATATATGTATATAACTGTGATTTTTTCTGTACCAAAAAGTTCCAAAATATTAAAATTAGCCAAGTCAGTATAGCCAGAATTTTGGGCTGAAATTGCTAATAATCGAACGCGCATGAAATTTTTAGGGCGGTATTCGTACGATTTGGAAAGCTTAAATTTAAGTTTGCGAGAGCTAATCTTGTGCTGGGGGGCCTCAACCCCTTACAATAGGGGTTAATAAGTTTTGACGTATAATACGTCTTACGTTTCGATATGGAGGAAATGGTCAAATGTTGTAGTTGTAATTTTTAGAGCTTCACGAAAACGATTATTGCTCGAGAACTAATGAAGCGATTTCAAAGAAGGATATGGCGTTTCAAAGATAAAACTCCAAACCTATCGAATGATTCATCTTTATAAGTAACCAACTCGGTTTCTGTCGTAGAAACAATGGTAAATATTGGCTTATTTTGGGGTCAATTTTAAGCATTTAAAGCGCTCTAGCAACTTATGATTTGCAGATATAACCTTCATTTTCGGGATATATGTAGGTTCTTTGGAGCAATAGAAATATTATCGTATAAAAATTTTATATAAATTCAACAGATATTGAGCATTTTAAGGAAAAAAATTGTTGAAAAAATTTGGAGATTTTTTATTACCAAAATGCTCGAAAATCGCTCCAATGATTTTGTTTTTGTAATCGAAAACTCAGGTGTTTTCCTTTCGTCTGGTATATAGGAAGTATTGGTTGATATCTTCTGGGTATGTTTATTTTATTCAAATATATGGGCATAAATGATTTTCCATACAAAATCACTTCGTCATCATTTTGCCAACACGTGCATGCGTTGGTTGTGATTGTATCCCAATCAATATCAATATAATAAGGTGCAATTTTTCAATAGCTAGGAATTACTGTTGATTTTTTGCAGTTTTTTTTACGCAGTCTCCTCCATACAAAAAAATTTTTTCGAAAATACTTTATATGGAAAAAATGCAAAACACCTTCAACGAAAAAAATCAAAGCGATTTTTAACTAACTCCGCATTTGCATTTTTTATAATAGAATTTAATACGCTGCAAAACTGCCTGTTCAAAAAATTATAAAAAATCTGATTAAGTCGAAAATTTTTATGAAAATTTGATGAATTTTCGCGAGTTTTGCAAAAAGTTGAGGAATTATATTTTTGTGTTTTTTGTTGTTTAATGAAAATATTTTTACAAAAATTGGCGGAAAAATATTAAAATTGTTGCATATATTGTGAAAAATTTGCTGTGCCAATACTTTGTTCCGGAAGTGTATATATGTATGTTGATTGCAGTTAATGTGGATCTGTTTTTCTTTTAGTAATCTACATATATTTGTATGTATTTATATGGGCAAATCTAAAAAATAGGTACACTCTCCAAAAAAATGTTATTTTTTAAATTTGTGAGCACACCTATGTTTTATATATCATTTTATTCGTATTCTCTTTATAAATCGATTAATACAAGTGTAACTCATTTTCATAAAGGGCTTCCAAAGTTAGACGAGGAATGAACATGAAATAGAAAACAAAAGAATAAGCTTTGTTCAAATTACGTTGTTCAAGTTGTAAATTTTGAGCAAAGATTTTGAAAGTTGAACTCACTTAATTGGGACGTTCTAAATTCAATGGCATCCCCCGTTTTACCAGATTGGCTCCAGTTTTCGAGATAACGGTATTTGAAAATTTGATTACATTTTAACTATTTTATAAATAACTCCCTCAGTTTTGAAGTTATTTTACAAAAATTTTGCACATAACGGTTTTTTAATATTACCTTAATTATTTATTTTATTTTAATTTTATTTATTTCTTACAGCTTATTAAGCCTAGTTTATACATAATTCTTAAAATATACTCGTTATAGCCTAACCTAAAATATACAGTATAAGCTACTAATATGAGCAACCAATTTTAGTGATGAAAAATGTGGCCAAATTCCGAATCGTATCAATACATGCTATGGTATAAAGGCCGTTTCTGCATATGAAGTGCGAAGCAAGCATCCAAACGGCGATGCACTGAATTCAATTGAAATAACACAAACGGCAATAACGCAAAATTTGCTTTATTTCACTTTTAAATGGGAAATAATACCAAAATCTGAGTTTATTTCCCATTGCTTATTTATACTATTTGTAAAAAAAAAAACAGTTTACTGACAGAAAAGAACTTTGTTTATTCCAAAAATACAATTAAACCAAGGCACATTGAACAGGTAATATCAGCTGATTTGATTTTTTTCAAATTATTTGTTCTCGAAAATGTCAAATATTTTACATTTCTTCTCACAAAAATTCAAAATTATTAAAATCTATTTGCATGTGAAACATTTTCCATACAAAAACCAGCGATTAAATACCAGCTTTTGGAAAGCTCGCCCAACTCAGCAGCACAACCGCTGATTACTGGGCCTGGCACAGGATGATGGATCAATGCTTCGAGAAGCGAACCAATTTACTAAGAAAGAAAGTTGCAACAATTTTCATTTTTTCAATTTAAATTTTTTACCTTTTTCGTATTTCGCATGGCACGCTTTGATGTAGAAGAAAAAAATCAGAACAGTTTTTGGCACCTTCGATACCACAAGCAACAACAAAATACAGGCAAATGTTGTTTTTGCTCAAATGCTTAAACCTGTTTGATAGGCCTTGAATTAAACAAAAAATTTGATATAATTTATATGAAGAAAGTAATATTCACAAAATATTTTTACTTATGAAAAGTCTAACAAAATATAGGAAAAGCATCGTCTTTAAAAACTGCTCCGCATATTGGACATAGCGCTTTTGTATGAATTTTTTCTGCATGCTTTTTAATATGTTAAAAACATTGCTGGAAAACCTTAAAATGTTTGCATGGAACCATGTCGCAATAAACAGATGAAGTACTAAAACGGCTTTCTCGCTTTATTTTTTGACATTTGGCTGCCTTATAGTCACATTTTATAGGCAAATTTTCAAATAAAGCAGTGGCACCTGGTAAATTCCACTATGGGTGGGATGCATGCAATAACACCATACACAATAATTCCCATTACTTGGACATTAAAAAGCAGTTTCAGAAGTGAACTAGTGTTATTTTATAATTTTTCCTTTTTCTAAACGGTTATAATGCCACCAGTACATAATTGCGAAAAGAGGGGAGGGGCGGTGGACGCGAGCACTACGTCGAACGCGGCGCGGGGTGGCGCGGGGCGGCGCGCGAACGCGGACCGCCGCGACGCCGGGCACTTTCAAAATTGTATTACAAATCCGTCCATTTAACTTGTTCATGTACTACTTTTTGTCAAATGTAACTGGGTGACTACGTACATATGTGCACTAGTTTGCTTTATTACTCAAATTGTTAAGTATAAAAGTTGGTCTTATTGCTCAACGAGAAATGAAATAAAGCAAATTTGTGTTATTTCACATTCAAATGGGAAATAACACAAATTTGCGTTATTGCCGTTTGTGTTATTTCAATTTTTATTGCAAGCTTCACTGCCAGCTGACGTACACGGTTGCATTTTTAGCATAATACATTTTTTAAATTATTTCAGGTGGAAACCAAAACAGGACCTATACGTTTATTTCTTCTTATTCTGACTTTCTTCAACATACGCTTCAATTTCTTTGTGGAAGTCACTGTTGGATTTCCTATATCGATAGTGGTGTCGAGTGCGTTCCGATTACGAATACAGCTTTTTCAGCCGAGTACCTTTCAAATGTTTGGAATTATTAATTTAAATAATATAACGAATATTTACATACTTCATTCATTAGTAAATCGCAACAAGATTGTCCATTTTTAAATTTAACGAACTTGTTGATTCAAATTAATGTTGACAAAAATGCAACCGTGTCACAATCCTGCTTACAAATTCTTACTGGCAAAAATTTTCCCAGCACGAATTTGCAACTTCCCCTNAATTTAAATAATATAACGAATATTTACATACTTCATTCATTAGTAAATCGCAACAAGATTGTCCATTTTTAAATTTAACGAACTTGTTGATTCAAATTAATGTTGACAAAAATGCAACCGTGTCACAATCCTGCTTACAAATTCTTACTGGCAAAAATTTTCCCAGCACGAATTTGCAACTTCCCCTACAAATGAAATGTCAAAATTGTGCTCTCTCCTTGCAAGTTTTACTGGGTTTTTGGCTAAACGAACACGATTTGGTAACAATTGGTACCAACTTGTACAAATTTTTTGCATAGCGAACACTCCTATAGCCTCATTTCGAGTGTCGAGTCGAGTGCGAGTCGTATAAATATGAAATATTCCAAGTTCAATTCCTATTTGAAGTGCTACCGTAGAAAGAAAAACTTTTTGAAGAGATTGAATAACTGTGTCAAACCAATCTACAACAACCTGCAAAATGACCGACAACTATTTGGAAAGTGCGGAAGCATAAACTTTTATATTCGAGACGAAAACACTAAAAATTCTTCATTATCCGGAGAGTATATTATTTCAAAAGAACCAATTATATCAGAGACAAATGATTCAATTTCACACGATGGTTTGGATGATAATGACGAGGGGGTGGAAAATATATATCGGGAAGTAGAGCCGTCTTCAGTAGACTGTGTCATTGATGATGTGAACATCCATATTGACTTCATGTCTAAATTGGCTG